CCTACAGGCTCCATTACGTTATCACCCTCATCAGTTTTCAGGGTTTCATATCCCTCCATTGCTTCTTTAACACAGAAGCAGCACAAGTAGCATCTATATGTGTGTGATCAGACTCTCTCTGGACACCAGATAATAGGTGCAGATATTTCTTTTCCTGATAGGGGCACAAGTAGCCTTAGAAACCATCAAAATTCCACATCCATATGAAATTTTCTCAGGATCTGCTGGTAGACCAACAACTTGATGTGATCTGAAATACATTGTGTTGTAGGGATGTTCGTTCAAGAAGTTTCTGTTAATTTTAAAGATTCTTACCAAGTACAATTAATAACATTTTAAGAATTCTTAACATGAGCTTTTCAGATCTTACTTGTGGTATTTATGCCTCCCAAGTGTATTTTATTAGCATAGTGGTAAAGGACATGGAAGAGTTTTACAGAAGGAAACAGGTAGTTGTAGGGTGTTGCTTTTTAAAGACACCCCAAAATAAAGAGTAGTTCTTAAAGATGTGAAATAGGTTGTAACCTTTGCCAGTTCAGCTGGAGTTCTTACAAGACTGCAAAAGGCATTGTCCTTTAAAGATAGCATTTTCTGCAGTAATGATGGAGACAGAATCTGGCTGCATGCTATCCAAGGTCAGAAGAGTAGAGAGAAAGGAGCGATGACATGTGTCTGTAGCCTCACTCATTAGAGCCGGAAAGAGCATCTTAGACAGACAACAAAAGAAACTACAGGAAGATCACCTCTATCGTGATGAAGGCAGGCACCAGGAGAACCGTATGCTTGCCAAGCAGTTTGAGATTGGAGTCATCTCACTAAGGCTTTGCTTCCAGCACTTTTCAGGGTGGTTGTATGGCTTTCCAGCTGTCTTATGACTCAATTCTAACATTTTAAAGGAAATGAGAATTTGGTATACACTTCAGCTGCAGAATTTAATGGCAGAAATTGTATTTTGTAGGTAAGAAGATAACACCTCCAAAAGTCTAGTCTGTAAAAACAAACAAAAAAAGGCACCTCAGGGAATTATGAAGGAAGAGTTGCCACAGATAATAATGCATGGGAGACTCCATAGTGTCATATTCATTGCTGAAAACTGCTCTGGAACATTAAAGGAACCTTGGCTGGTGCCTTCTTCACAAATTGCTTAAGTTACTATCCTCCACTTCTAGTAAAAATTACAGTCTAGATCTAATCTGGTCCAGTTTGTTCTATGTCCTTGTCCATTTCCAACTTGGCCTTCTCCATCTTCTACCCCATATAAAGTGCAATATCATATAAGTGTAGAGGAGGACAGTGACTTGAGCAATAGGAGAAGTCATGGGCCAAGAAATGGGACAGCCTCCCTTATTGCTCCGGGGCTTTTGTACAGCAATGGAAATGGATATAGGACAGCACTCCTTCTTCCTTTAGTTTATCAATGTCAGATTTCTCCCTCTCCAGCCCTCTCTGGCTCTCACTCACCATCGGTAGATGGATAAGATAGCACCTTATCTCAGATGCTATGGATTACCACTTTCACCCCTAATTGCCAGAGGCATAGTAGCTAATTTTTAGGTGTAAGAGAAGGGAAGATATCTGGGGCAAAGGAACCAAACTGTGGTACAATCTACCAACCCTTCATGTGATCTTATGTTCTGCACATTTTCCTGTCCTGTTCATCATTTTATGTTGGGCCAGTGGAAAAGCCCATGGACTCCAAACCCGGGTTTGAAGTTTAAGCTTGCTGTATCCACTGTTCCCTTGCACTAGCTGCCCTAATTGCTGCCCTGTTTTAGGTTCCGAGTGGTTAGGAACAGCAGTCTCACGTCTGCCCTGCTCATCTTTGTTATTGTGACATTCAAACGAGTTGATGTATATGAAAGCTCTCTGTGAACTCTAAATTATTAGGCAAATATGAATGTCATTTTTATTATTATTGTTCTAAGTTTCGGATACACTGGAAAAAATGCCCTGCAATTCATTTGTTTCTTCACTCATTCGTTTATTTATTCACCAAAGTGTTGACCTTGGAGATACAGAGGTAAATAAATATATATATATATATAGCTATAATTTCTTCACTTTTACTTTGTCCAAAAAACTCTCTTTAACTACTTTCCGTAATTTATCTCATATAATTCTCACAAAAACTCTGTGAAGTAGATATTATTATCCCTATTTGCATATGAGGAACCTGTGGCTCCCATATAGCTCAAGATCTCCTAACTTTTAAGTGGCAGAGCTGGTTTTCAGCCCAGGCCTTTTAAAAAATATTTATTTTTATTGTGTAAAATATATGTAACATAAAATTACCATTTTACCCATTTTTAAGTGTACAATTCAGAGGCATTAAGAACATTCACATTGTTGTGCAACCATCGTCACCATCCATCTCTAGGACGTCGTTGTCACCCCAAACTGAAACTCCCTACCGACTTAATGCTAAGTCCCCGTTTCCTCCTCCCCCCAGCCCCTGATAACCACTATTCTACTTTCTGTCTCTAAGAATTTGACTATTCTAGGTACCTCATGTAAGTAGAATCATATAATACTTGTCTTTTTGTGTCTGGTTTATTTCACTTAGCATGTTTTCAAAATTCATCCATGTTGTAGTACACGACTTTCATTCTTTTTTGAGGCTGAAGAATAAGCCGTTGTATGTATACCATATTTTGTTTATCCATTCATTGCTTGATGGACATTTAACCCAGGTCTTTTGAATGATAAACTTCTTAACCGCTAAGCCAAGCCCAGTTGTTATTCTAATAGCTATTATGCTGTCAGAATATACTAAAAACTAAATTCTTGCCCTTAGAATTTTACTCTGGGTGATTCTAGGAATCATTTAATTTCCCCAACATGATTAGACATTAAATTTAATAGACTTTCCTTCCTAATGTAATAGTACCAACTCAGATTATCAAGGATGATAGAAAAAAATGTCTGGATGAACTGTGTCATTCTTTTATTTAATTATTTATTTGTTCGTTTGTTTATTGCAGTAACATTGGTTTGTAACATTATATAAACTTCAGGTGTACATCGTAATACATTTTGAATTCTGTATAGATTACATGATGTTCACCACCCAAAGACTAATTACAATCCATCACTACACTTATGTGCCTATAAACCCCTGTCGCTGTCCTTGCTGCCCCCTTCCCCTCTGGTAACCGCTAATCCAATATCTGTTGCTATGTGTTTGTTTGTCATGTTTTTATCTTTTACTTATGAGTGAGATCATATGGTATTTGACTTTCTCCCTCTGACTTATTTCTCTTAGCGTAATACCCTCGAGGTCCATCCATGTTGTCACAAATGGCCGGATTTCATCGTTTCTTATGGCTGAGTAGTATTCCACTGTGTATATACCACATCTTCTTTATCCATTCGTCCCTTGATGGGCACCTAGGTTGCTTCCAAGTCTTGGCTATTATGTATAATGCTGCAATGAACATAGGGGTGCATGAATCGTTATGCATTTGTATTTTCAAGTTCTTTGGATAAATACCCAGCAGTAGAATAGCTGGATCATATGGTAGATCTATTCTTAATTTTCTGAGGAAACGCCATACTGTTTTCCATAGTGGCTGCACCAGTTTACACTCCCACCAGAAATGTGTGAGGGTTCCCTTTTCTCCACATCCACTCCAACACTTATTGTTTCCTGTCTTGTTAATTATAGCCATTCTGACAGCTGTGAGGTGATATCTCATTGTAGTTTTGATTTGCATTTCCCTGATAGTTAATGATGTTGAACACATTTTCATGTGCCTGTTGGCCATCTGTATATCTTCTTTGGAGAAATCTCTGTTCAGACTGACCTTTTGGGCATTTTTTAATTGGGTTGTTAGCTTTTTGTTGTTGAGCTGTATGAGTTCTTTGTATATTTTGGATATTGACCCCTTATCTGATATACGCTTTGCAAATATCTTCTCCTGATTGTTAGGTTGTCTTTTCATTTTGTCGATGATTTCCTTTGCTGTGCAGAAGATTTTTAGTTTGCTGTAGTCCAATTTGTTTATTTTTTCTATTGTTTCCCTTGCCTAGTCAGACATGGTACTTGAATATATGCTGTTAAGACCAATGACAAAAAGCGTACTGCCTATCTTTTCTTCTAGAAGTTTCATGGTTTCAGATCTTATATTCAAGTCTCTAATATATTTTGAGTTGATTTTTGTGCATGGTGTAAGATAGTGGTCTACTTTCATTCTTTTGCATATGGCTGTCCAGTTTTCCCAACACCATTTATTGAAGAGACTTTCCTTTCTCCATTGTATGTTCTTCGCACCCTTATCGAAAATTAGCTTTCCATAGATGTGTGGGTTTATTTCTGGGCTTTTGATTCTGTTCTATTGATCTGTGTGTCTGTTTTGTGCCAGTACCATGCTGTTTTGGTTACTACAGCTTTGTAGTATATTTTGAAATCAGGGAGTGTCTTACCTCCAGCTTTGTTCTTTTTTCTCAGAATTCCTTTGGCTATTTAGGGTCTTTCGTTGTTCCATATAAATTTTAGGATTCTTTGTTCTGCTTCTGTGAAAAATGTTGTTGGAACCTTGATAGGGATTGCATTGAATCTATAGATTGCTTTAGGAAGTATGGACATTTTAATTATGTTAATTCTTTCGGTCCAAGAGCACAGAATATCTTTCCATTTCTTTGCATCATCTTCAATTTCTTTCAACAATGTTTTACAGTTTTCAGTGTACAGATCTTTAACCTTTATGGTTAAGTTTATTCCTAGGTATTTTATTCTTTTTGTTGCAATTGTAAATGAGATTGTATTCTTAATTTCTCTTTCTGCCACTTTGTTGTTAGTGGAATTGTGTCATTCTAAGATTAGAATTTATTTTGGAGAATTATTTTCTCATTTCAAAGTTAAAAATCTATTCTTTTAATTTATAGCAAAAATGACAGTTGGTTCTGATCTCCAATTCTAATCCAATACAGTAAGAAATTTTTTAAATTCAAAATAAGATAATCTAACGGTAGCATCTGAACTTAGCTTAGTGTGAGCTTACCAATATGGAGGGTTGCCTTGATCAAGTTTTGCCCTCTTGTTGTGTTTATCTATCCATAGGAGATCCTAACCCAGATGGCATTCCAATTATGATCTGGAAGACTCCTGACAGCGTCATCTAAAAAATTACACATTGGTTTTTCATAAATAAATCTTAATGTTTTTAAAACAGCTATATTGAGGTATAAATGACATACAATAAATTATATATATTTAAAGTGTACAACTTGACAAATTTTGACATATGTATACCCATTCATTGTTTTGCATGTGGATATCCAAACATTCCAGCACCATTTGTTGGAAAGATTGTCCGTTTTCCACTGAATTCCATTGTCAAAAAATCAGTTGTCTATCTACATGTAGGCCTATTTCTGGACTCTCTATTCTGTTTCATTGATCTATTTATCTTTGTGCCAACACATTTCACTATCTAGATTAATGAAGCTTTATGAAGTCTTGAAATTAGGGAAAGTAAGTCCTCCAACTTTGTTCTTTTCTTAGTTGTTTTGGCTATGCTTGGTTCATTGCATTTCCATATGAATTTTAGAACCAGTTGGTCAATTTCTATAAAACAGTCTGCTGAGTTTATGATAGGGAGTGCATTAAATTTATAGATCAATCTGGGGAGAGCTGACATCTTGACAATATTGAATCTTTAACCCCATGAACAATGTATCGCTCTCCTTTTATTTAGGTCTTCTTTTCTTTTTCTCAGCAATCCTATGTAGTTGTTAGTGTACAGGTCTTGCATGTCCTTAGTCAGAAAAGTATTTCATATTGTTGATGCTATTGTAAATTTTTTTTAAGAAATTGGATCTTTAAATTGTATCAATTCATCTTTTACTATAGAATCTTTGAATGTACTAGAACATGGCTGTCCGTTTTGAGTATGGAAATATTTTAATGTCAGGAATCTGTAAAAGTTACCATACTTCCAGTTCTGTTTCTGATTGACAAGGAGTAGAATGAGTAGTCTTGGTGGAAAGCCTTCATCCAAAAGGCTAAGCATTTCAGGCCTTATTTATGGTTACTCCTTCCCAACTACAAAGAAAACATGCTTCTCTGTCTAACTTTCTAATTAGGAAACTCATGAAAAATATATATTCCAGTTGGAATTTTGGAGCCAAGTTCTATTTTTCTGGTAAATGAAAACATTTCCAGCTTTCCGTCACAATCCTGGAAGGTGCTTAACAAATATTTGTTTTGAAGGATTGAATAGTTAGCATATGGGGCACAGAGGCTCTCTGGGAAAATGCTTTTTGCAGTTGAAGGAGTCAGGATCTTTCATCTAAGCTCTGCCTGGGTTTTATAATTTCACTCAATTTATTTGTACTCACTACTTCGTATTTATTTCAAAGAACTTTTAAAACGAGACACACTTGAGGATGCTTAAATGTGGATGGGAAGGAGCCAGTAGAGATGGATTGGTTAAAGTTAAGAACAGGAAAAAGCAATAATGGTTTATGTGAGTCTCTGAGAACTCAGAGGAGAACAGAATCCAGAGGGCAGAGGGGGGGTTGGTCTTAACACGTAAGAAGGGTGGATGCCTCTTCCACTGAAGATGGAGGAATAGAGGTTATAGGGGCAGTGTAGGCTCTAGGTGTGTTGCCAAGACATTGAGGGAGTTCTGATCTAATGGCTCTCTGAGAGAGAGGGGTAGAGTGGTAAGGAAGGAGAACAGGAAAGTTTAACGGGGGAGCCTAGTAAAGAAAGATAGAACCATTTTCTAGATTGTCTCCTATTAATGATAAGTATATCTTTAAGCTACAAAATTATTCTGTTTTCTTCCCCTGCCCCACCCCTCACCCCTTAACAACCCCACCCCAAACTTTTGCCAAACCCTTGCTAGCACCATTGAGGATCCAGTGATGTCAGAGACCGTGAATGAAACAGAAATCTCACTTTTTAAGAAAAATATGTATCTCCATATGTTTATAAGCATTGCGATCATTGTGATGATTTCCTGTTAGGTTGTAAGATCACATAAATTAAGTGTTAGGAATCATTTTTGTTGCCATCATTTTAAGCACAAAGTTAATACCATAATTCCACTAGTAGTTCACAGTTTCAATAGTACTTTCTATCCTAATCTTTAGCTTTGAAACATAAAGATGAGAAATGGGTTCATTATCTAGACTCTCCCCTGCCAGTGGTAAATGTTTGATTACCACTGTTGTCAGCCGTAAAATTACTCTTATTTCATCTATTCTAAGATACATGTTTTTTCACATATTAATATCTCAGAAATTGAAATGTGTCACAATTGATGGCATCTTCCAATTATCATTAGAAGCATTTTTCCTTTTTTAAAAATACATCAAATCAGGGCCGGCCCCATGGCCGAGAGTTTAAGTTCATGTGCTCCACTTTGGTGGCACAGGGTTCACTGGTTCGGAACCTGGGTGCAGACCTAGCACCACTCAACAAGCCATGCTGTAGTGGCATCCCACAGAGAAGAACTGGAATAACTTACAAGTAGGCTATACAGCTATGTATGGGGCTTTGGGGAGAAAACAAAAAAGAGGAAGATTGGCAACAGATATTAGCTCAGGGCCAATCTTCCTCACCAAAAAGAAAAAAAAAATACATCAAATAAAGATGTTTCTTATAACTGGTGGCATCACAGATTCCATGAAATAGCTGTCCTTTCTCTTCATTCCCCTGCTCCTTTCTAAGACCGACAGAAAAACAAAAAGATTTGATTGGATTTCTTTTAGGGACAGATGGTTAAGAATATTACCTATTCCAAACATATTTACATTTTGAAAAAGATGGTTGAGATAAGAGAATGAACCTATCCTATGGGAGTAAGGGAGATTTCTATCAGGGGAAAGGCCTTTGGGGACTCTCAGATTGATAGACTGTACCGTGTTGACAACTATCTGCAGCTCTGAGATGGCCGTGTCTTCGCCTCCGAAAAATTAGATAAACTTGTGCACAAAACGAGGTCTAGGCTTTTGTCTGTAGAATTACCCTAAATGCAACCACATAATTCTCTGGGGAGTTTCTGCCCAGTGTGTCCACCAAAGCAAAGAAGACAATTACATAAACGGTCTGGTTGAGGAGTTGTTAATCTCCAAAAATATCTTCTCATCAGGATACACTATCTCCTTCTCTGTCCAGAAACTCCAATACTCCAAGTAATAATGTAATAATTTTTTTAAAAGGAAAAACATGCCCAGAGGGTCTTATTTAAAAGATGTGCATTTTCTGAAGGAAAGGGATAGAGGCTTGAAGCAATATTTCTCAAATGGTGTTCTCTAGCCAACTGCATCAGAATCACCTGGGAAGCTCGTTAACATACAGATTCATAGGCCCTGTGTGAGGGGATGAGCCACAGAAAATAGCCTTTTTAACAAGCTGATTCATATGTGTGTTGAAATTAAAGATTTTAGACCTCTTTAAAGAAGTTCATTCTCTTATAGGAAGTTTTGCACAGAACCTGGCATATAAATATCAATAATAAGCGTTTGGGGCTTGTATTAATTATCTATTGCTACAGAGTAAATCATCCCCAAATTTTGCAGCTCAAACAACAAACATTTATTATCTCACAGTGTCTGTGGGTCAGGAATTTGGAAGAGGTTTAGCTGAAGGATTCTGGCTCAGGGCCCTTCCTGAGGCTGCTTCAAGATGTCTGCTTGACCACAGCCATCTGAAGGCTGATGGGGACTAGAGGATGGCTCACTCACTTGGTTCTTGACTGAAGGCCTCAGTTATTCTTGTGGGCTGTTGTCTGGAACCTTCTGTTCCTCACCAGATGGGCCTCTCCATAGGATGGCTTGAGTGCCCTCTTGAAATTATCTCACAAGATGGCCACTGCTTTGCCCAGAGTGAGTGATTCAGGCAACAGGGCAAGGAGGAAGCCTCAATGCCCTCTATGACCTGGTCTCCAGCGTCATGCCCTTTGTTTTCATCATATTCTGTTTGTCACTAAGGCCAGTACCCCATCAAGAGGAGGGGAATTAAGCCAGCTCTTGAAGAGAAGAGTACCAAAGAATCTGTGGATTATTTTTAAATTACCACAATGCTGGCTTTATTTCCTTACGGCGGTGCGGAGAGCAAAGCTTTGTAAAAGGGCGCCTTAATTTAAGTTCCCCAGCAACACCCACAACTTCCCACCCATCTTTTTGGGGGAGAGTGATGAAGAACCCAACCCTGTTTTTGCCAGACACAACTAGTTTTTCTAATTGTGATGGAAAGTGGACCTCTTCCTTCCCCTGCAAACAGGCTTGTTTCAGCTAGTGGTTAGAAAAGCTCAATAACCTGCAATCATAAATGTTATAGAGCCATAGGAAGAGAGAAAAAGCCTGAAGTGGGTGTTATTTTCACTCTCTGTGGTACCACATTGCAGTAGAAATGCCAGGAAGAATCGCCACAGCTATGTTGCTACACAGCCCCCGGACCTGTCTACCTGGAGATCAGTACTCCATAAAACTAAGGGGAAGGGATAATTTGCCTTTCAATAACAAATCCTTCATTTTATAAAAATGTGGGCTATAACTTTCCTCTAAGTAGCCAGTGCTATTAACACACTTAAACTATTTATTTTAAGGAATTCTTTTTTTTTCTTTTCTGAGGAAGATTCACCCTGAGCTAACATGTGTTGCCAATCTTCCTCTTTTTTTTTTTTTTTTGCTTGAGGAAGATTAGTGCTGAGTAACATCTGTGCCAATCTTCGTCCACTTTGTATGTGGGTTGCTGCCGCCATAACATGGCTGACAAGTAGTGTGGATCTGCACCCAGGATCTGAACCCACGACCCAGACCGCCAAAACAAAGCATGTGAACTTAATGACTACACCCTGGGGCCAGCTCCTTAAACTACTTATTTTAAAATTTGATTTACAGGGATGCATGAGAGAGACATTTGCAGAACTCTAGGAGCCTGTCAAAGATATATAGCTTCCGAAAGCGTCTAGTTTACAACCAGCAATTAATTTAAGCAGTGGAAGGACCGGGCTGAACCCAGGGCTGCCTTAGCTGACAGTCTGAAGGGAAATTGAGTGCAGTATAAGACGGAATCAAATTCTGATCTTGGTTCGAATGCCGATTGTCTGTTTTATCACAGACATTCGATATTGACACAGCACAGGCTATTGCGTCTCAATAAAATCTATTCTTCGCTTTCTTTTACCTCATCTGCAGACTGTTGACATTTTCTTTTATTTCAACATTGATGTTTTTCTTTTACGTTGGAAATTTTAGCACTGATGTTGTAATTGCTTATCACACAGCTGGCCCTGTTATGATGTTCTTGTGAATGTCCCTTCATTTTCCTGATGGTCCTGTGATCCAATCTACAATCCATTTAAAAACAAAACATTCATGTGCCATTTTATGCTGTGGCTCTTTTGGAGTTCCATTTCAGCTTCATTAATATTGATGCTGTCTGTCTCCTTGCTTATTTCAGAAGATTCTTTGAAATTAATCTTCAGAATTTGCTGCGATTTGTTGCTGTTTTGTGCGTCAGCCTCAGTACAGCTTGTCTCTCGTTAATTTTGTTTCTCTTTATTTTTACGCGTCTGCTATGACTGTTCTCCTACTTGTACTACTGGTGTGTGTCAGGTCCTTTATGGAATCCTGGTTTCGCCTCTGCCTTTCACTGTGATTTTCCATCATTAGGGACCTCTTGAATAAAAATGTAGCCCTTGTTTCTGACAGAGTCGATGTTCCTTTTCTTTTCTTTCTGTGTGATTTTCCATCATTATGGTTCTTAAATTTCTTGAATAATGATATATACTATGAACAAATGGACAGAGCAGTAATGGCTTCATCAGTGTTTTCTAAAATGTATCTGCAGCTTTTAGAGCACACAGTGCCACAGCAAAATCTGTCCTGTGTATGTAAAAGAATTTTTAAAATAGATTTTGTGGTCTGTTGGTGACAACGCTGTGGTGCATTAATAATTCACATTCTTGCTTACAGCATCTGCTTGTTAGAATGCCAGTTCCACAGCATCCAGGTTGGAGAGTAGCAGTAGGTCTGGATATCTTTGAGGAATATAGGTGCATTGCCATATCTGCTTTTTTTTTTTCTATAACATTTTCAAAGGCAGCCAATATTTTCTTGAACAGAAATGGTAAGTTGGGAATGGGACTAATTTAAAAAATGAGATAGATGAAATCAAACATCACTCATTTGAGATATTTTGTCATCTCATTGACCACTTATGAATAAAATAACTCCGTATTTCTAGTTAAAAACAGGCAAGGGAACACTATGGGTGATAGAAGGACAGGATTCAAATTTAACAACTGTAATTGACTGAAGCCAAGTCAATAAATGTCATGAAGTAAGAGGGTGAAACTGAAAATATTGGCTGTCCAATCAGTGCTATAAAAACACAGAGAGAGGGGCCGGTGGTGTAGTAGTTTAGTTCACACACTCCGCTTCAGTGGCCAATTGTTCACAGGTTCAGATCCCAGCCATAGACCTACACATTGCTCATCAAGCCATGCTGTGGTGGCATCCCACATACAAAAAATAGAGGCATATTGGCACAGATGTTAGCTCAGAGACATTTTCCTCAAGCAAAAAGAGGAAGATTGGCAACAGATGTTAGCTCAGGGCCAATCTTCCTCACCAAAAAGTAAAAGCAAGAGAAAGTAATGCTAAAATAAGACATATAAAATATACTATTCACTATTGGTTAAAAAACTATGCTTGCTTCATGTTCAGAATATCAATTACCAACTAGGTAATTCAAAATCAGCTCAAGCAGTTTTCTCTTTGAAAATGCCCTGTAAGAAACTACCCAAGACCTATAGAGCACTGGTATTTCACACTTTTACAAATCTATGATGATCAAATGATTTTGAAGTTAAACAATAGAAATTTAGTGGTTTCCCTTAGAGGAAAATCAGTGTAACTTGGGCATGAACCTAGAAATCAGAAATTCTGTGTCCTCAGTTTATTGTTAATGCTGTATTTCATTAGAATTTTATCAGTTCCTTTATCAATACTTTTCATGTTTTTAAATAGAAGCAAAAAATGCCAAGAAAATGGAATAGATACCCACGTGCAAAAGAATGAATTTGGAGCCTTATCTCACGCAATATTAAAAAATTAATTAAAAATGGATCAAAAGACCTAAATGCAAGAGCTAAAACTATGAAACTCTGAAGAAATCATAGGGGTAAATCTTTATGATATTTGAGTAGGCAATAGTTCCTTAGATATGACACATAAAGCACAAGCAACCAAGGAAAAAATAAGTAAATTAGATTTCATCAAAATTAAAAATCTGTGTTCTTCAAAGAACACTATCAAGAAAGCGAAAAGAGCCCACAGAATAAGAGAGAGTATTTATAAATCATTTATCTAATAAGGGTCTTGTATCCAGAATATATAAAGAACTCTTACAGCTCAATAATAAAAAGACAACCCAAATAAAAAATGGGCAAATGATTTGAATAGACATTTCTCCAAATAAGATATACAAATGGCTAATAAGCACATGAACAATGCTCACTCAACATCATTAGCCATTAGGAAAATACAAATCAAGACCAAAATGTGATACCACTTCACACCCACTAGGATGGCTATACTGAAAAAGACGGGCAATAACAAGTAAAGACAAAGATGTGGAAAAATTGGAACCTTCATACATTGATGGTAAGAATGTAAAATAGCACAGCCACTTTGGAAAATAATCCGGCAATTCCTCAAACAGTTAAACATAGAGTTACCCTATGACTCAACTCCACTCCTAGGTATTTACCTAAGAGAATTGAAAACATGTTTTCATATAAAAATTTGTACATGAATATTCATAGCAGCATTTTTCATAATAGCAAAAAAGTAGAAATAACCCCAATGTCCCTGAACTGATGAATGGATAAACAAAATGTGGTATATTTATACAATGGAATATTATTCAGCTATAAAAAGGAATGAAGTATTGATTCATGCTAAAACATGCATGAACCTTGAAAACATTTCGCTAAGTGAAAGAAGGCAGACATAAAAGGCCACATATTATATGGTTCCATTTAAACAAAATATCCAGAATAGACAAATTTATAGAGATAGAAAGTAGATTAGTGTTTGCCAGGGGCTGAGGGCATGAGGGAATGGGAAGTTACTGCGAATGGGTGTAGGGTTTCTTTTTTTGGAGTGATAAAAATGTTCTGTTGGAAAACAGTATGGAGATTCCTCAAAAAATTAAGAACAGATCTACCATATGATCCAGCTATTCCACTGCTGGGTATTTATCCAAAGAACTTGAAAACACAAAGGCATAAAGATACATGCAGCCCCAGGTTCCTTGCAGCATTATTCACAGTAGCCAAGACTTGGAAGCATCCTAGGTGCCCATCAAGGGGCAAATGGATTAAAAAGATGTGGTATATATACACAATGGAATACTGCTCAGCCATAAGAAACGATGAAATCCGGTCATTTGTGACAACATCGATGAACCTTGAGGGTATTATCCTAAGTAAAATAAGTCAGAGGGAGAAAGTCAAATACCATATGATCTCACTCATAAGTAGAAGATAAAAACAATGACAAACAAACACAGAAACAAAGATTGGATTGGTAGTTACCAGAGGGCAAGTGGGGAGGGAGGAGGGAGAAAGGGGTGATTAGGCACATGTGTGTGGTGAAGGATTGTAATTAGTCTTTGGGTGGTGAACATGATATAGTCTACATAGAAAATGAAATATACAACGATGTATACCTGAAAAACAAAAATGTTCTGTAATTACATAGTGGTGATGGTCGCACAATCTTGTGAATATTCTAAAAACCACTGAATTGTACACTTTAGAAGGATGAACTTTATGATTTTTCTTTTTGAATTATGTCTGAATTTTCTTTTTAAGGAGAAGAAG